AAAAAAAAAAAAAAACTTAGAATAAACAAATTCAGCCAAGTTGCAGGATGCAACTTCAACGTGCAAAATCAACACTCAAAAATTAGTTGCATTTCTCTATACTAACAATGAACAGTTCAAAAAGAAAATTAATGAAACAATTTCATTTACAATAACACCAGTTTAAATAAAATACTTAGAAATAAACTTAAACACCAGTTTAAATAAAATAAACTTAACCAGAAAGTCTAAGTACATGCAAAAGACATGTACACTGAAAATTACAAAACATTGCTGAAGAAAATTAAGCAAGACATCTATGTTAATGCATTGGAAGACTTAATATTGTTAAGATGTCAATACTGCCCAGGTGAGCTACAGATTCAATGCAATCTCTGTTAAAATTCTAATGAATTTTTTTTTGCAGAACTAGAAAAAACCAAGAATTCATAGGAAATCTCAAGATAGATTAGGCAGAATAGCCAAAATAGTTGAAAAAGAACAACAAAATTAGAAGATTCACAGTTCCTAATTTGAAAGCTTATTTACTGCAAAGCTACAACAATCAAAACGGTGTGGTACTGGCATAAAGATATAGATCAATGAAGTAGAATAGAGGTCAGAAATCCTCACATTTAGTCAAATTATTTTCAAGAAGGGTGCCAAGAAATGGAGAAAAGACAGTCTTTTCAACAAATGGTACTGACAAAACTGATCATTTGCAAAAGAGTGATGTTGTATCCCTATCTTACACCATATAAAAAAATTAACTCAAAATGGATCAAAGACCAAAACCTAAGATATAAAATTTTTAAACTTGAAAATGGAGAAGCTTTATAATGTTAAATTTGGCAATGTTTGCTTGGATATGACACCAATAAAAGAAAAAAATAGATAAATTGGACTATATCAAAATTGAAAACCTGTACAAAGGATACTATCAAGGGAGAAAAAGCAACCCACAGAATGGGAGAAAATATTTTCAAATTGAATATCTGATAAGGATTAATATTCAGAACACATAAAGAAATTCTACAGCTCACCAATAACACAAATGGGCAAAGGCTGAGCGTAGAGGTTCATTCCTATAATTGTAGCATTTTGGGAGACCAAGGCCAGAAGATTGCTTGAGCCCAGGAGTTTGAGATCAGCCTGGGCAACATAGTGAGACTTCATCTCTACAAAAAATGTAATTATTAGCTGGTTGTGGTAGTCTGTGCCTGTAGTCCCAGCTACTTGGGAGGCTTAGGCAGGAGGATCACCTGAGCCCAGAAGGTCTGTGGTAAGCTGTGAGCATGCCACTACACTCTAGTCTGGATGACAGAGTGAGACCACAAGTCAAAAAAAAAATGAAAAATAGCCAGGCATGGTGGCACGTGCCTGTAGTCCCAACTATTTGGGCAGCTGAGATGGAAGGATCACCTAAGTCCAGAAGGTTGAGGCTGCATTGAGCTGTTATTGTGCCACCACACTCTAGCCTAAACAACAGATGGAAATCCAGACTAAAAAAAAAGGGCAAAGAACTTGAATAGACATTTCTCCAAAGAAGATACACAAATAGTCTGCAGGCACATGAAAAGATGCTTAACATCACTAATCACATTAGGGAAATGCAAATCAAAGCCTCAATGAGGTAGCACCTCACAGCTATTAGGATGGTTATTATAAAAAATAAGTGTCATTGAGAATGTGAACAAACTAGGCTGCTTGTACATTGCTGGTGGGAATGTAAAATGGTGCAACAGATGTGGAACACAGTATGGAAGCGCCTCAAGAAATTAAATGTAGAATTACCATTTAATCCAGCAATTCCACCTGTAAATTTATATCCAAAAGAATTGAAAGCAAGGACTCGAACAGATACTTGTACACCAATGTTCATAGCAGCA